GATCTACTATCGCGGCAAGCTGTGATATAAACTAACCCAGAAGATACATGTAAGGGATCTGTCGATACAAACGAATGTAGTAGAAATCGCTTTGGAGGCTCTGTCGCATCACGAGGCCCAACAGATCTGAAACAGGATTACCTATATTTTTTTCGGAAAGAATAGTCTAAAATGGCTTACCCATGCCTGAATACTTGAAGCGGCGGAACTGTTGCATCTCGTTGGACTTTATCTTCACTCTTGAGCGGGATATCGGACAACTGTATTTCTTCTTTCTCCCTTATCTCCTTTTTACGGAAGATTGGGCGAAGTTTTGGCCCAGACGTGGTGTTGGGCCTGAAAAAAAGGCTTCACTGTGCTGATCTCTGTCTTTTCTTCTCCTTATCAGTCGAGTTCAAATACCTCGTTGTAGGTGGTGGACGAGTCGTTTTTGAAAACGTTCTTGGAGGAGGACGCGACGTTGTCAGCGCAAGACTTATGGCTGGTTTACGTCGAATAGAGTCTGAGTTCTAGAAACATGAACTTTTTTGGTAATCAACACATTAAAGGCTGCCAAGAACTGATAATTTTTTTGAAATTTTGCGAATTCATTTCAGTGACTAGTAAAACTTCACTTTACTGGGTCGCAAGAAATTTTCATTACAACAACAATGATTCGCCCTCAGGTAATTTATAAATTTGTTTAAATGTCTCGTAAAGGAAATTTCTGTTTAGCATACAACTATAAGTTCATCAAGTGCATGCCTTAGTTGTCAATTAGCAAATTTGAAGCAAAAAAATTTGACCCAAGAACCTTTCCAAGCTGAATGTATTGTCTTCGGGGTAGAGGTGCCATCTATCCACTCGTAAAAATATATTTTCTAGACAATTTTTTGGCTTTCAAGCTTACCTCAGTGGTAGTACAGGCTAGAAGCTTCTCGAATGAGTGCTCATTATCGGCAGAGAGCTGGCTATAAACAGATTTGGTTTCTTGAGAAGTCTACAAAGTGAAGCCAAAACAACCATCTTTTTTGATGTCTTTGATTTTTTTAAGATTTCATGGTCGATTCAAGACAGCAATTTGATTTGACGGTTGTTGGTATCCTCATTTTTGCTAAATTCAAAAACTCTATCCAAATAAGGGACCTACTTCTTAGGCTGAGCACTTCCAACCCTAAATACGTGAGCCGTGTCATTTGTTGAGAATCTTTTCCATGTTTCTATCAAACCGCTCTTCACTTCATGCTCGGAGAAGAGTAGCACAACAAGAGATCGACCTAAATTTCAGAATTTGCCGAATATATTCCGATTGATTGGTCCTCTCTACAAAGAAGAGAAATGGAAATTTCGAAAAAATATATCGTTCAAGAAAAACAAACCACTCTTTCGCTTTGCAATTTCCGTTGTCACCATACTCAGATAGCGATCGTAGTCTCCATCTATGGAATCTATACGGGTAATCAAATCGGCTGGGCTCTAAAATCAGAAATTCTTTTGATAGTTTGCTTTTTGCTATCGAAACTGGATTTATAGACGTTTCCTTACTTTAGCCACTGCAAAGATGTAGCGACCACCATAATGACCAGTCGCTATCGAGAGATGTAGCCCATCTCGTTTGGAAATATCATTTGCAATTTTTGTCGCTCGTGTTCGTGATAGCTAAGTATACATATTCAT